TAACTTAAATTTGAATTTGAATCTGAATCAAAATTGGACTACAGGATAAAGGATGATTTTTCTCTTCCTTCCCTATCTGAATTGGCGCCACACACAGGGTTAGGAAACCCTAATATGGCCGGCCACCATGGAGATAAGGGGAAGGGATTTTTGTTCTGAAATTCAAAATTGGAGATAGGGATTTGATCCTGTTTTGAAGTTTGACTTCTACTCTTTAAATATGAGAATGATAGAAAATTGTAGAGACAATCTTTGAAACATTTTTTCAGCCCTAAACAGTTGGTGGCCGAATTTCTCTAAGCAAAAGGGAGAGAAAATATTTTTCTCCAAAAAATTCCACATCGTGCATGCGTTGGTGTGTGTGGAAATGTGAGTGTTTAAGAAACCTGTTTTTATCTCACGTGTGCCCACACACACATCTACGTAGAATCAAGGAATTGACGTGGAAGACTTTGGTATTCTAAACACAAACTTGGAATAAGGACTGTTCGTGGTCAAAGAATTTAAGTTATCATCCGAGTCGGCTTCCAGGTATTTTTTCGGATTGAATTCTTGATGTAAATTAATGCGATTAATTTATTCGTGCATAAATTAATATAATCTATAGAGTATCTCAAAAGTTTTATGAAATTTTTGTTATACACGATCCGCCTCCCCGCCACGCTTCCGCACCCGAATTCGATTCGGGAACCAGCAGTTTTAGTGGTGAAGTTAGATTCAGATAGGGGTAGGAGCAAGTCACGAGGGAGATATTACGATAAGAGAGATAATCGTTCCCAAGCACGGCTAAAGAAGGATATTGAGTGCTATTATTGTCATAAGAAGGGACATATTAGGAGAAACTGTGAATAACTGACGAAGCATCTAGAAGAAAGAAGAAAGCAAGAACCCCAAGAGACTTTTAGATTTTATAAATGTTGTTGGCGATAGGTATGACAGTGAAGATAATGTATATTTAGTTATTGCTGATGAAAATATTTCTGACACTTGGATTTTAAATTCTGGATGTTTATTTCATATGTGTCCACATAAAGAGTGGTTTGATTCCTTAAGCCCTGTGATGCCGGTACTTTATTGATGGCTAATGATTCTAGTGCTAAAGCTGTTGGAATATGTACTGTTAAGGTGAAAATGTTTGCTGGTGCTGTGAGGAAATTAACAAACATTAGACATGTTCCTCAACTAAGGAGAAATTTAATTTCTTTGGGGGATTTTGACACGTTGAGTTGTGAGTATTATATAAGGGTGGTTTTATGCAAGTTAAGAGAGGTGAATTGGTGGGTATGAAGGGTGAAAAAGTAAAAAACTTGTATAAGTTGATTGGGATAACAATTGTAGATGAAGCTATGAAGGTGGAGCCAAGCCACGAAAAGTCTTCCTCTGTTGTGCAAGAAGTTGCACGAGTACAAGAGCGCAACAAGATGTTGATGACAGTTGAAGACAACAATGATAAGATGGTGAAGAACTATGGCAATGATTAAGATGCTTTGAAGAAGAAGAAGAAGAAGAGAGTTTCTCGTGTCAAGTTTGATGAAAGTTTGAACTTGACACATGTTTATTATTGTTGAAATTTGCATCGTCGGTGTGATGACGGGTGTCGAGATTGAATACCCAACTAAGTTAAGAGAATTTGAGTCAAGGTGGAGATTATTAGGTAAGTGACTCAAATTAATTTTGAAAAAGTAACAATTTTGTGTTTTTTGGGTAAGTTACTGTTTTCTATTTTTAGGCAAGATTTATTAGGAGTCTATAAATAAATGTTTTGTGTAAGGTTTTATATGTATTCAGAGAAAAGTGTAGAGACAGAGTGTCTCCTTTTGATAGAGAGAAAGAAAAGTGAGGAGAGAGATAGGCAATGGTGTAAGGGGTTTTGGGTAGAGAGAAAAAATTAGAAAGTTTGTTGAGTGTATAATTCTGAAACTGTTAGTGAATTTTTCTCTCTTCTGTGGACATAGAAATTTTTTTCAAACCACATAAATCTTTGTCTTCTCTATTTTTTAGTTATTTTTATTTCAATTTATTTTTCTATTGTGTGAATGTAGTGGTGTGTTTTTCTCAACAAAACTTGACTCTGATTCATAATAATAGAACTAAAAAATGACCATCTATGCTCAATAACAAAGGTTTAGAGAATATTTTATAAGAGTTTTATTACCCTTTATTTGAGATATGGTATTAGATTTTACTTCGATATAAGACTAAAAATTAACTACCGATAAGTCTATATTATTAAATATGTATAATAAGTTATCTGTTTTAAATATTTTTTTTATTTTAATGTAATTTGAACAGATGTAACAATTAAAAATATACATTTTCAGTAGTAGAAGGCCTAAAAAAAACATCACACATATTTGCATACTTATGTATAACAAGTAAGGGTTTATGAAATGTAACACTAGGGTGTGACGTGTGAGACACGCGAGAACTATATTATATTAAATATTACGTTGAATGAGTCGTAGGAGTCCTATATTATTATGTAGCAAAATTGTCCTATATGCCTTGTTCTCACGTTTTTGGCAGCTTAACCTTAACTTGTTTTTCCTTTTCTTCCTTTTTCAAGTAAGACATCATGGACTAGTATATTGGAGGACAGCTATGCACCTAAGTACCTAATATCCAATTTGACTTCGACTACTAGTACACTTGTCAAATTATCCAGCTTAATCCACACTTAGCAGTTAAGCCCTCCAACAGCCTAATTAAGTGCATTATTTAATTACATCTCAAGTGGTTTGCTGACAATCCAAAAAAAAAAAGATGGCACATTTGGAAGGGAGATTCGTGTCATGATTTGAATTATGATTCGTGACTCGTTACAGTATTTTCTCTTATAAAAAACACACGTAAAATGAAAATAGTTCTGAATCATGATTCTGAATCTATGAACGAAACGTCCATGAAGACAGAAGCCAATCCATTTGGAAAGTGTGGAAGAAAAAGAAATTAAGAACTCACTTATTTCACCAATTCGAGTTTAAAATTTGAGTTTTGTTATAATAAAATCGTGACTCGTTACAGTATTTTCTTTTACAAAAAACACACGTATAACGAGAATAGTTCTGAATCATGATTCTAAATCCATGAACCAAACGTCCCTGAAGACAGAAGCCAGTCCATTTGGAAAGTGTAGAAGAAAAAGAAATTAAGAACCCACTTATTTCACCAATTCGAGTTTAAAATTTGAGTTTTGTTATAATAAAAAGTTCTCAGAAACAGTCACATCTAATTTTTTTGCTATAATAACAAAATTCTCATATAAAGTCATATCTCAACTCGAATTAAAAACTCAAATCAGCGAATTAAACGGGCATTAACTCTTCTCCACTTTTCCCAAAGAATGAAAGAAAGACATTAAAAAAAAACTCCCTTTTTTGTAATTTTATGTATAAAAATAGACATTTTCAAAGACAAGACTCGGGTTATTTAGCAAAAAAAAAAAAAAAAAGATAAGACTTGGGTTTATTTTTTCACAATTTATGTCACAATTTAAATTTTTTTTATATGAGAGAAAATATTATAACAAAAAATTTAAATTTAAATTTTTATGAAAAAAAGAATTGTAATAAAATAACTTGAGTTGTGATTTAAATTGCGAAATTTTATATAATTATTTCTAGAAAAAATGCAGACTGTTATTTGGTCAAAAGAAGGGATCGCGTTGGAAAAACTGATTTATCTTTTTAGAGTGACAATGCAAAAACCGTCTCTGTGAATCCCCGTTTTGAAATTAGTAAAATATTCAATAAAAGACAGATTATTGAAGCCGCTAGCAACTATTGCCAAACCAGCCACCAGTACTAATTCTTTGAAATAAAAACCCGCATCATTCTCTTATTGGCTTTCTAAAATGTAAAAGCCTTGCAAGTTGGAATGATCATATTGTCAATTTGTCATATGATACAAATTACACGACCAACATTAGTCACATTATAAAGGGGACTAAGGACCTGTTTGATTTACACGTTTAAGTCGGTAATTCTGAATTATTAGCGAGAACTTTGTGAGAAAAGAAATTTTTAAATTCAAATTTTTTATGAGATAAAAAATACTATAGCAGAATTAAAATCATGAATTCAAGTTTAGGAACCAAACTGGGACTAAAATAAACACAATTCATGATTCAAGCTTTCTTTAATATGGGCATTTAGTACCTCCCAGCCTGTTTTTCTCCTGGTTAAGATCTCTCATACAACATGGAAACAAAGAAAATAAATCATCCACGTGGTAGAAATGGTGGGTAATTAATTATATGAAACAATAATATACGCTCTCCACTATCAATTAAAAAGAAGCTGGTATTCTATCAGGTTGCCTGCAACAATTCCTTGATATCATATCCTTGAAGCTACAAAAGCAACAACCAGAAAAGAGGTTTAAGCACTTGACACAAAAGCAATCATGTAAAATTTCTTAACACTTGTGTTTGGTAAGAGGAAAAGAAAATCGGAAGGATAAAAGACGAAAAACCTAAGTGAGGAAAACAGAGAGGAAGTGGAGGACTTTTCATTTATTGTGTTTGGTATGGATTCTCTCCTCTAATTTCTACGTACTTGGAGAGATTGATATCGGCTTTCTTTACAGAATTTAAAATACCTCACTCAATCCATTCCTTCCTCTTTTCTCTCTTACCAAACAAGCTCTAAAGTTGGTAGAGTTTGCTTTTTGGCCAAACTAATTTACGCAGCATGTGTAAGTATATCTTTACCTGAAGAAAGGTGAGCAGCAATATTACTCCTGAGTTCCAAAAGGCATGTATTGTGATAGGGGTTAGAAGGTTGCGAGTTTGAGCGTACGAAAATCCCATAGCAGTGCCTGCACAGGTCATGAAAGTAGTAGATGGAAAAGCAATTGAGCTAAATAAAATGTGATAACTTGTTCATACGAGAGGTCCTATAGAAATTTCGCATTTGTCAATAGGGGTACAATGGTTGCTTTTTTATTTTTCAAAGTAAACCAGGGAGTTTAATTACCAAGTACAAACAGCTGGGGAAACTCTCCAGGAGTTAAATGTGCAAGTGCAAAAACGGCTGCACTAACAAGAACAGCAACCGGTGTTGGTACCCTGTAAACGAGAGCAAGAAAACTTTCAAGGATATTGGTTTAACAGGAGATCTTGCTAGAAAACAGATGAGATAATCCTAAAAGCAATAAAACAAACAAAGCAACAAATCCATCCCTTGATTCTATCAAGTGATTGCAAGATTTTAGCAATGAAAAATCCAGAGCAACCGTTATGGATATAAAAAGGATGGACAATCATAAGTTTCTAAATTCTACAAACAAAGAGAGAATAAGAAGTCTGGGGAATGATATGCAGACAAATGATCATAAGTTCCAAGAACATGTTAAACAGCGCACTAGCAAGCATTACATTCTAAGGAAAGTTACAGCAATTCGAGATTTAAAGAAAAAGAAAAAAGAAAGAACGAAAGATATACCACTTGGTCAGCGACACCAAAAAGAACCCCCGAAACAGAGTCTCCTCGAGAATTGGGGCAAGAACCCCCGTGATGCCAACCAAGCATGCAGTGCTACAATGCAAACCAATGCAATTACTTAGCCCTTCTTTGTTTCAACAATTTGAACTGTTGTTTAGGATTCAAACCGTTGTTCACGATTCAAATTGATGTTTGAGAGGACAAGTCAAACCATTGTTAATGGTTCAAACCCTTGATTTTAGAATTCAGCCCCAGCCCCCCCACCCCCACCCCCTCTAATTCTAACAATCTTATTTGTTTTCTACAGTGAAAACAATTCTGACTCTACTTTTTCTCTCTCTTCAATTCAAGTTTTAAAAACATTATAACTTCTTCATTTTATTTCCGATTGAGATGATTTTTTTTAATATGTTCATAATAACGAGAGGAACAAATCCTATTTTCAAATGTCATTTACAATAAGATTTTATAAGATTTGTTACAAAACTCTAATGACAATTTTCAACACTTTATTCAAACACAGTTCAGATTTTATTCCCAATGCAAATAACAATTTATTTGCGTATCCAAACACCGGTTCAAATCACAATTCAATTCACCACAATTCAAATCACCACAACTCAAACCAAATCAACAATTTGAATCGTTGAACCAAACAGGCCCTTAATTTCTTAGTCTTAAAGTTCCATTGGTTTTGAAACTTGGAATCAACAAGATACATCCAGAAAATGGGAACGTTCACAACATTTTATTCCCGTTAAGAGGTACCTGATACTTGAAGACCCAATCAATGGAAGCAAGCGAACTAGGGCATCAGTCTGAAATAAGGTTAAAGATGTTAATATAGAATGTGAAAAATAAAAATTTTATCTCTCTCTTCGTAGTTCCATCACTTTGGAAGAGATAGCTTCCCCATACAAAATTTGAATGACTCTCATCTGCATTCAAAATGAAAGAAAGAAATGTAAAAAATAAGCTCCAGATAAGTTCCAAACCTCTCTTTGCGGGCTTTCACTGCTAAATAAAGACATAGCAGCTCCTGTTAACGAAATGGCGCCAATAGCACCAACAAGACCAATCCCCGCCCACAAGAGCCACCCTTTCCGTAGACTGAAAGGTTCCCTCAAATCTGAAACAATACTACTCCATATCAGTCTACTAGGATTGGTGCTGGCATTTGGATCCTCAAGCAAGGCCATTGACTAAAAGATATATATCACATCTGGCAAGAGCTCAAGAGGAAGAATCACAAACCAACAAAAATAATTTCATTTGAAAAGTTTGTCCGCGGGATGGAACGAAAGTGTTCATACCATATCTGTATATGTCTTCAGGAAGCGGTTGGAAGGAGTTCGTGACGCTGTATAGAATTCCAAGTACAACTGCAGTTGTAATGCTGCAAAAAGCAATAAGTCAATCAAATCACACTTTTTTACGGCTTCTAAAGCCCCTTTATAACATAATAATACACTTTAATACCCTATTAACAAGAGCCTCAAATACGACTAGCAGTTCTTAATTGGCGAGTTACACTTTCATAGACCATACCAAATTCCTTTAAGAAAGAAGATTGCAATGCAGATTAAAGAAAAGCAAAACAGTTAATACCCTTGATCCAGAAACAATATCTCTGCCTTCTCATCTAAGCTCAGTTTCTCAATGCTAATTCCTAGGTACGGTATAGCTGCTGCCTCTACTAATCCTGTCAAAACAAAACTGCCTGGAAAAATTTCAATTTTGTTCCACACTCGAAATTAAAAATACCACCTAATTATAAATCAATAAATGCGTTTATATATATATATAGGACACCTGAGCCCACAAGCTAGGGAGGTCAAGGACACTGTTTGCCATTGCCAAGGCACCTCCCACCGCTTCAGAATCGGCCACTCCGATCCACTTTCCTGAAAATTGTCCGTAAACTTTTAAAAAGAACATTTTTTTCATTTTTTTCATATATATATATATATTTGCTTTATTTTCATCTTCAAACTAATTGTGAAGAATTTAGTGCTCAAATAGCAGAACTAAGACATAAATAACAGAACTAAGACAATCCCATCATTATATTAAGTGAATTTCTTATAACTCTTCACATTATTATTATTTTTTGACAACCCCATCAACATATTTTGTCTATAAACTTTTAAGCTAATTCATCTTGTCAAATTGGTATTTTCTTATTTTTCTTTTCAAACGAAATGTGAAGAACTAAAGTGCCTAAATAACAGAACTATGATAATCCCACGATTACATTCGGCTTGAAAAACGTTACCTTTCCTTGGAAATCGTCCTTGGAGTTATCACCGGCATTAAAGAAGCAAATGGGACGTAATCTTCTGCGCTTGAGGGAGGCGTGAGATATCCCCGGAACTGGGTTTGACCGGCAAAGGGAAAAGCTTCCATGGCCGTTTAGGTAAAAGACGTTAGTTTGTTTGGCGGAGATTTTGGGCGAATTTAGCTTCGGAGATTCTAAGAAGCAGTGAAGCGAGGACTGAGTTGCATTCGTGAATATCCTCGAAACCATATTTTGGTTTTACAGTTAGTTTGTTTGATGGTTTATGGGGTTTCTTTGCAAAGTCGAGAGATGAGAATAGATAAGGCTGTAGTACACTAGTACTTCATCTGATCTGATAAGTGGAATTTGTTAATTACGATTGTAGGCATTAGGTACTTAAGTTTTTTAGAATTACGCCGAGAAAAAAAAAGTAAAAAGAAAAAGAATGCACTTCGCAGTTCGCAGGACCACAGCATGAATGGTTACTCAAACGACAATATGTCCACTCAACTCCTACGGCATAAAACACGACACTAGCCATCAACCGATGCTACCTGTAAAAAGTAAATCCGGACTAAAAGGAGAATAAGGCGTTATTTAAGTTTTTAATTCGAGTTAAGATGTGATTTTATGTAAAAAAATTTTACTGTAATAAAAAAAATTAAATGTGACTGTTTTAAAATTTTTTACTGTAATAAAACTCGAATCGATAAAATAAGCATGATCTGAGTGCGTGTGGAATTCTATATATAGACGGAAAAATTTCATAAATACCTCATTTTGTTTCAATATCATTCTTAACTTTTAAAAATGGTTCATTTCGGGTAGTTTGTTTCCCAACTTAAGTTAAAACTTAAGTTGGGTATGTCCTGAGCTTTTCTTAAGAACCGGCCTTTTTGCCATTTGGGCTTATCAGACTAGGGCCGGTAATATGGGTCACGACACGACTCGAAAACGACACGAATTTTGCGGGTTAGGGTTGAGAAAAAAGAGGTTCGAGTCATAATTGGGTCGACCTGAAATTGACACGAAAAATACGGGTCAATTTCGGGTTGGACCCGCCTAACCCGAACACGACACGAAACTCGTAAAAAACTAAAATATACATATATTTTTCATTTCATATTTTAAATTTTATTATGAACTTGTGATATCATGATAGTTATACTCAAAATCTTATACTATTATTTGCTTAATTTCAATGGATGTTATTGTAATTTAGTGTGTTATGAATTTTAAGTTATTTCTAATATGTAAAAAACTAAATAAAAACATATAATTTTCATGTCAATTTCGGGTTCACGGGTCAATTTCGTGTCACGGGTCATTTTCGGGTCGTGTCGTGTCAGCTCGTAAAGTGGTCGTGTCGTGTTCGTGTTGCGGTTTTTAAAAAATTTCGTGTCACGGGTCGTGTTCGGGTTAACTGAAAATTTAAAAAAAATTATCAAAACACGACACGAACACAACACGTGACACGAATTGTCACCCCTATATCAGACCACACAAGGACGTTAGATCAACTTTCTTATTTGTATTAGTTCAAAAACAATCCTCTTTTTTTTTTTTTTTAGAAATAGTAAAAAATATGCTAATATTAAAAACTTAAGAAAGTATATAGGTAAACTTTTAGTTATAAAAATTAATAGGCCATAACTTATCAAGTTATGGTTTATAACCAGATAAATTATGGACAAACTTGTCAAGTTATGGTTCATAATTAGACAAATTATGGACAAAAACTGTGAATTATTGATAATAAATTGTTAAGTTATGATTCATAACCAGATAAGTTATGGATGAAAACAGTAATTTAGCCTATTTATTAACTTATGTAAACTATTAGCCTATTAATTTTAATTCATCTAAAGTCTTTACCTATTTTCCTCTTTCTCCTTTTTTTTCTCCTTATTAGTTCACTACTAGGCAAATTATTCTCTATATAAGTTTTATCCTTCACCACCAAGTGTCTCTCTTTTCGTTAGTTGCTCTCCGCCAATATTTATTTGCTTCAATAACAACGTTTAGTATATTAATATATGAAAACTTATGCTTTTTTGGTAAAATATTTTAGAGATTTATGAGCTTTTATTTGAGAAATTAGTTTTAATGTTTATATACACATGATATTGGTTTAGAATATACATTAAAAATTCAATAAGTTTTACTTGATTTCCTACTAGTTTATGTTATAATTTCTCTCTTAACTGCGCCTCCACTGAGTTCAAATCCTAACTCTATCATCGATGATAAAAACCACTGTTATTATAAACTCGAAACCAAACTAAACTAAACATAAAAGGAAACACAACTACAAACAACTATTGAGTTTGGAGACACAGCCATCGACACCCAAAACAACACGAGAAGGTCATACACTAAATGTGAGAAGAAAAACTTTCAAGGTATTGCCGAACCAACGCACATATACTATACATATTCTAAATATTCTAAAGGAGACTATTCGGTATTACTGTTCATTATACAATGTTATGAACAGTAAATTTTCGCTTTTAACCTCTTAAATGTGTATTTATTAACTCTATAAAGTAGTGCAACACGATATTTTCAACACCATCAGATGTGTCACGCATCACACCGTCATCTCGGCTCAAATATTGTTGTGATTTCAAGCGTGATAATTCAGGGTCCGGCAGGCCGGTGACTCGTGCAGAAATTCCCTATTCTTGCTCTGTCCTAAAGAATGCACTACTTGGGACTTGGGCCAAGGCTCATGGGCTCGATCCACCAAAGGTGATGGTGATAATGTCGATGATCTACTCCACGTGACCTCATCGCTCGAGAAAAAAGGCTGCTCAAAAACAAAATTGGGACTTTAAAAACATTAGGGGCAATATGCTAGAATGATTATCCAACAAAATAAAATTAGTAAAATGACATTCTTTTATTTTTTATGAAGAAAGACACTTAATCATTCTTTATAAAAAAATGTCATTTTGCAAATAAAAATTTTTGAAAAATTATTTTACTAATAAAACTTTTCTATTGAGTTATTTTTACAAAGGTCTCATTAGTTAGCGTCATTTTTTGTTTGGAGCTTTCTATTAGAAATATCTACTATACAATATACATTGAGAATTTTTTTTTTTTTGAACATTTGATGCAGAAAAGAAAAGAAAAAGGAGGTTTTTTTTTTCCTTTTTTGAATCTAAGGTTTCAAATCATATTGAAAATAGTTAGTTTCAATTTAGATTCTTACCCACCTGGGAGATAAATACTTCTTAAATACATGAGAAGTCTTATCCATTACTTTTTAATTAAATAACTATATTAGTAAAAAAAATTAATCACAAGATAAAAATTTAGATTTATGCACTTTAAAAATAAAGTTTAGTAATTTTTTCTACGTTATAGTCACTTTGAATAGTTAATGTATTTTTAATTATAAGACGATGATATTTAATTAATAAATTCAGAATTATTCTTAATTTACGTATATTTTTTATGAAAAAAAATACTATAACGAGTCACGAATCATAATTTAAATCATGACACGAATCTTTAAACTAAGCATACTCTTAAAAGTTTCAAGAAAAAACAAAAAGGCTAGCTGGAAAAAGAGAGGCAGAAATAAAAGGCTCATTGAGTATCCCCTAGACATTTTGCAATCTGCCATGATTCGCACGTACGACATAAGTGAACCCAAAATAAATGTATTTGTGTAGGACATATAATGATGTCGTGATGGGGCCGGCCTCACTGAGATCAGCTATTTTTCTTTTTGTAAGAGGCTTTGCTTTTATGAGGTCTAATATGCAAATCTATAAAACAACAATGACAATGCGTGATATGATTATGAATTACACGGCTTTTATTGGATTCCAAAATGCTGTATTGAATTAGCATTCAGTGGGTTCCTCCAATATTTTCATATTGACCGGTTTATGAACTGTGGAGTGTGGACAGTGGGCACTCTCTGTTTCTTAAGTTCAACACAGTTATTCCACTCATAAGCACATCCATTCGTGCAATTTTTATGTAACCCCTTGATGGGTCTACTTTGTTGTCGTTTATGTTTCGAAAATCAATGTTTAAAAATAAAAAATAAAAACTTATTTTCAATTTGAAAAAGTTTCTCAGTTACAAAAACATTACATGTTTAGGCGATCTCTAATATAAATGTTAATATTGGATCTATACTTGACCCCAAAAAATGTAAGAACTCATGTATTTCTCCACCCTAGTGCATGATGCTATTTTAACATTGTACCTTGAAGGAGTAATTCCAAGTAAACGACAACAATCTATTTGTTAACTTCATTATAGATCAAAGTGACATGTCGTTTGTAAGGAGGAAGAGCTAGAGATATGTGTACAGCCAATCACAAGTGCATGCATGGATGTCTTAGTAAGTCGGTATTGTCTGCATTAATTATTAGCATAAATAGTAGTGTTGACACTTTGGACGGACAGCCTATAACCACCAAAAATTTTGAATTTTGTACCCGATGACCGAGCCCGCCCGAATCTGAATTTTCGGGTTGCCCGACCCGACCCGAGGATGACCATGAACGGGCTTCGGGCAGGTTTTGGCTGCCCGAGCCCGGTCGGACAACCCGAGACTGCCCGAGTGCCCGAAATTTTTTTTAATGTTTTTTACATATTTATATACTGTTATATATATTATATATAATTTTATTTATTAATTGTATATGGTATGTATATAAATGATTTTTAAGTTATTTATTGTAAAAATTATACAAAAATTATAAGGGA